AAATGCATAATAAATCAGTAAATCATCATTTACTAATTTGTTATTGATCTTAGTTTCTTAGCTTTATATAATGCTTGGGAATAAGATAATAGTCTAGAAATATGTATTAATGCTTCTTTTATCATTTTACAAAATATCTTTGCATATTCCACATATTTCATAATATTTCCACAATGTCTCTAATGTTTACAATATTTCCCCTCGACATTTCCGACATATGTCCTATATTTTGGTAAGCGACATTTCCATCGACATCGACATTTTAAACCTTGATTTAAATAAAACATTAACATGTATACACACACTGAGGTGGGGCATGGGAAGAGAGTTGAATTTAAGTTATTGAAACCAGATGGTTGGTAAAGTCTTCTACAGGTCGTAGCGGAGACTTGGGATCGAATCCCGCCTGCACCTGGGTTGGGGGTGTTATGGGTTGGGGATGGGCTACCCCCTTTGTGTAGCCCTTCAAAAAGAAATCAAAAAAAAATGATAAGAGGGGAAAACACAATGAATAAAGAGTGGCTAAAGATTCAAATTTGCAAGGAGAGTGAATAAGAGAATAAATTAACATAACTGTTTGTGCAGCCTTTTAGCAAGATAAAAGAGCATTAGGAGTCAATGATTTTATGAGATAGTGATCTAGGAGATTTGATTTGTAAGATATAGATTTGTAATGAGGGTTTGGACTGATGCAGAAACTCCGAAGTACCAAAATTAGCAGCAGCTGGATGCATAGGAGCGTTTGTGCTATGTGATTCAGTTTTGTTACAGAGATATTCTGGTTTATTCTTCTTGTCCCAAGCTAATATTGCTGCTGAGTTCAGAGTAGTTTACGAGAAAGAAAGCAACTTCAAAGACAAAATCAAGAGTCATAATCTCAGCTACAGGAGATTGCACCTCAAAAAATAGTAATAAAAATATGTAATACTTCCATTTTGTCCAAACATTTGGCTAACTTCTATAAATAATAAAATTTTCCTTTATTTTAAGTAAATATTTTTTCCAAAAAATACTTCTAAGTAAAGAATTTTGAGGATTTGGGTCCCCAAGGGGAACCCATATCTGTCACGGTGTTTTAAAAGCGCAAGGCGCAAAAAAGGCGCAAGGGCCAATTTGCACCTGAGGCGTGTGCTGTTTTGAAGAAAGGCACAAAAATACAAAAATTGCTAAAAATTAAAAAAAAAAATGTTGTCAGAAAATTCAAAAAATTATGTAAAATATCAAAAATATTAAACATAATATTAAAAAAAAATATAAACTTAAATTTTAAAATAAATGCTCTAAAATACCTATTATCTAAAATTAAAATACATAAACATAACATGTAAAGTGTACTCGAATGAAAATTTAAAAATAAAATCAAACATATAAAACATTTTCAAGCATGTGAAACCCACAATCTCTTTTTTCCTCGATTGCATTACTTGAAGTAGCTAATGTGATGTAAAACATATTACATTCCAGATTCTACAAGCCGCCTTTGTGCCACGCCCCTCGAGGCAAGCCCAAACAAGTCCATGTTAGGGTCTTAAATTCTTAATTTTCACACAAAAAAAATAATGATTTTATAATTTTATTTGCCTTTTAAGAAGATATTTTCTTAAGATGAATGAATGAGCAACATTAGCAAAAATTCCAGTGGGGATTTTTTTTTTTTCTTTTGAAGAATAAGAATAAAATTTTTATTAAAACAAAAACAAGATACAAGCCGATCAGGTGTCTAGGTGACACCCCAAACAAAGTAAACAAACATCCAACTTCAGTTTAGACTAACTGATTCATATTACAACTTGAATCTCTAACAATTCCCAAAAGTTATCAGCAAAATCTGAAAATCTGACTTGTTCAAATTCTGGTAGAGTAATGACCAAGCTTGTGACAAGTTTGCCAACTGAAGTCACAACCTCTTCAGTCCTCTTTTCCTTTCCTTTCCTTCAAACAACCTCCTGTTTTTTCCCCCACAAAGACCAACAAACTGCGAAGGGGATGGGGATTTGTTTCAAAGTCGGGGTTGGGAATGGTGTATATGGTCCCTGCCCCGAACACGCCCCATTGTCATTCCTACTGCATCCTCTTGTTTCCTTGAGCAGATGTCTCCCTCAGCTCATAATCATCTTGAGAACAACAGTTTGCATCCCTTCCTTTCTGTGTTGTATCTAGTGATTAGTGGATTAGTAGTTCATAGTTGATCGTTTAGTGGGTTAATGGAATGTTATGTGTACAAGTGGATCTAGGGGGTAAGTTACTTGTTTCAACTTCTTGGGTCATTCTATAAATTGATTATATTGTTTAGCTGAATTATTAATAAAGAAGAATTATGTTTTAGTGTTTAGGAGGTTCAACATGTTCTAGTGCTTTTCTCCCTTCTTTTTCTCAAAATTTCCTTTCTTTTCTATTAACTTAGAAAAGCACCAATAAGAATCAGAGTGGACAACTCCCAAGCAACTAGAGGAGACAAAGGAGATATGGAAAGAGGTAGAGAGAATATCAACTTTCTGATGGTGGGTGGACAGTGGAATCAATGTCAATAATAGGGGGTGAGGTTCAACAAAAAACAGAAAAATTGAAAGAAAGGATTAAAGAGTGAAACAAAGAACAATTTGGAAGATTAGAGGAGTCGAAGGAAAAATTGCAAACATAGCCTTAAGCTATGATAATCTTCATAGTGTTAATTATGACAAGCTAGCTGACATTCAAGCAACTACCATTCATGCTTTACATCGAGATAAGCTTCATCTACTTTTTTAAGAGTTTGTTGATTTCTTAAAGATCTCAGACTTTCTTGTATAGTTTACGAGCTGAGAATCATCTTGAATAGGTTTTTGGAGGGGTAAGGCTTTTGTCCACCACCACGCCCTCCCCATAGGCTTATCTTTTTTGCATATCAATAAAATTTCATGGTGGCCACCCTTCCATCGAGACAATATTTGGGAGATTTGAGACATTATGCACAAGAATTTCAACAAGCACTTATAAACAGAACTTGGAAGGTCAATAAAAGGAGTTCGGGAAATCCTATTCCACCGAAGGTTGAAGCATTTGCATGGCTGGTGGCTTTGGACAGTATCCTCATGTTGGATCATATTCAACATAGGGCATCTAATAGGATGGTAGATGCTACTTATGCAAAGTTCATCTGGGAGTTCATCTCTGTTCTGGATGTTGCTATTCGAAGTTCATCTGGGAGTTCTTTTTTGGTCTATTCAAAATGGATTTCTTTGATCCTAGATCCCCAGGAGTGATCTTTGCTCACTGACCTACATTACATGGGAATACTAAATGGATCTACGCCCCCTTTGTCATTTTATAGGAAATTTGGAAGGGAGAAATAAACGGTTTTTTGAAGACAAGGCTTGAGGAAGAGATCAAGATGCAATATTTTGTGGAAGAAGTATGGATTGGATTGTCATACTTCCAGAATTTGAAGGAGTGTCAAAAGAAGATCTCGGATATGGTTTTTGGTCTCTTTTTGAATTAGATTAAAGAAGTGTATTGTTTTTGTGTTTTTTCTAGATGTTTTTTTTGTTAAAATTGTATTGCTGGAAAAATTTGTGGTGATATCTCATCACCAAATCTAATGCACTTCCTTCTTTTATTAATAAATTTTTCTTTTTATTTATTACCAAAAAAGGAACATTACTAACAATCTGATTGATCAAAGCAGAGGAACAGGGGGGTTGAAAATGGAGGAAGGGAGGTTTCAGAAGACTGAGGTTCGAAGAAGATCTCTAAGGGTGGAAGCAAAGCAGTTCCCATTTGAAAGTTACAGGGTGAAAGGGAAGAAAGCTTTAAAAATCAGAGAAATTAATATGGCCATGGTGTTGCTGGTAGGGGAAGAAGCATCGGTGTGGTTTCAGACTTTCATGGAAGATACTGTTCAGGTGAGTAGGAAGTCTGAATTCAATTGAGATTAATGGCAGGAGGTAATATAGCAGAAAGAAGGGAGAATCCTAAAGGAAGGTACATGGTGCTTATGGAATTCTTTGGGGAAGGAAAAGCAGATGGTCTGCTTCCCTGAAGGTAAGAAGTGGAATGGCTGGGAAGAAGTTTCAGGAATTTTGAAGGACTTCATTACATGGGAGGAAGCTAGAAAAGAAAGCAGAAGGGAACTAGTAGAAGAAACACAGGGGCTTTAAGGAAACTCTACAGTGAGGGAGCAGAAGAACTGCCAGAAGAGGTAACAGAAATGCAGCTCATGGCTCAAGCAGCAAAGAACTGTAGAATGGTTTGCAACATGCACAAGAATGACTGGGAGAAGAAATTTATTGTTACCTTAACAGCCCCACCTAAGGACTGGAAGAGAATTGCTGAAGAGTTACTAAGGAAGCTGAAGTTAAACAGTACTATTATTTTAACCCCCTTTGAAAAGTGTAAGGCCCTTCTAGAGTTAGTAGAAGAAAAAATGGAACTCCAGGCTGTGTTGTCAATTGGAGTCGGCCTCTGTGACTGTTTCAAAATGGACTCCTCATTCTAACTCTAAGGATCTGCACGCGAGGGACAAAGTAATTGTTCGAATCTTGGGGCTACCATTTCACCCATGGATTTCAGATGTTTTTGTCTCAATAGCAACTCTGTACAAAGCAAGGCTAGAGGGCTTTTTTGTTAAAGACCTCTATTCAGCTGCAGTATGTTTGAGTAATGTAAACTTGGAAGATATCCCACGCTCAGTAAAAGTACTGGTTGATGGAATCATTTATTCAGCCTGGCTAGTTACAGCCATTGAAGCCGAGCTATGGAGGGAGGGAAGAAGATGAGAAGGTAGAAGAAGAATGGTTACGTGGAAGAAGTCAAGTGGATGCAGGAAAGGAGAAAGGAAATTACACTGAAATGGCAAAGCAAAATCTGGGGAGAGGAAAAGGTGAACTAAAAGAGGAAGAAGTTTATAAGGCAAGGAAAGAAAGGGATGAGACACACGGCTGGTCTTATGCTGAGGCTCTGACCAGTGGGCCTCGACGTGTGAAACAATCCCAAATTCAAATTTCAAAAGGGGTGGGTCAGCCAGCTGGTGTATCGGACTTGAACAGAACTGAGCTATTAGGGTCAAAGGTTAATAACCCACCATGTGGCACTTTAAGTAATCACATGATGGGTAATAAGAAAAATGGGCCTGGGCTTTTGAGCAGACGACACCCTCCCCTGACTTAGAGAGATTACCTCCAGTGTTCCAGCAAGAACAGGATGCACGGGAAGTGAGTCAAGAGGAGACTTTGAAGATGAGTATGGAGGCAATAGAGAAGGGTGTACTTGAAAAGGTGATTGGCACAACCAGAACTGTTAATAATCCCACTCTCACTCAACACAGCCAAATTTCAGGGGCTGATTCCAATATGCTGGGCTCCAAACAGGACTTCCCAACCACACTTGTCTTCGATCCTCATCCAACGTCTCCAAGTAAGCGTGTCCTTTCAGTTTTGGCTACTGATATGTGTGCTCTGCCTGAAACAGGTACACCAGCTACCCAGACTGATTGGTTAAAAAGGGAGGATGGAGATGGGACTGTGAGATTAGAAGATAGGAGAGGGAGGGAAGAGGAAGTGGAAGGGATTTGGGGCCTAATCAGTGAGTTTCTTGGTGATTGTAAAAAAAGAAAAAAAAGGAACAGATAACACAGCAGATGGATGTAACTATACAATGGGTGGGGAGGGAGGCAAATGCTTTTGTTGATTCTCTAGATAAACAATGAGTAACTAGGGATGAGTTGTACTAGGCCCACTTGTAACTTTATGATGTTTCTGTATTAATGAGTGAGGCTGCACCTCGCGCCTCATATTGGGATGCTTGTAACAGACTCTTTATCATTTGCTTCTAATGAAATCAATTGAATTTTTATCTATTAAAAAATAAACAATCTGATTGATCAATAACAACAACTTGACAGATGAGCTTGTCCTATTCCGCATACTGAATGCACTAATAAGTGAAGTGGAGAGAATTCTCACTCAAGTATATCAAGTGCAAATGTCCGTTGAAGAGAGTTGACACGTAGCCAGATTACCTAGGAAGATAGAAGCATGCTATTTAATAGTAAGAAAAGATGAAAATATAATTATCATTTATATCTACTGATCCAGGATCACAATTAATGAACAAAAAAACTATATAATAAAAGCTATAATGCCTTTTATAATTAAACAGAATTTTGAGTTTCATAAACAATGAATCAAGATAGACAGGAAATAAAATACAGAATTTGGCTAGAATGCAAGATACTAGTTCCCAATCAGCACATACAGATGCACCTGCAGCAAGAGCTGTCAGGTCTTCGAGTAAACGAAGCCCAAGTTTTCCTGCGTTACTTAGGCTCTCCCGCATCAATAATGGCCGTCCGGAGACAAATTCTCTCTCCAAGGACCTGTCAGTGCTTGAGTAAACAAATAAAAAACAAGGGAAAAATACTAAAGGGAGAAGAATATTCAAATTTTCAAATTAGTGAGAATGTCAGTTTTCAGGTGTGCATCACATGCATATAAAAACAGAGAAAACATGTAATGAAATTAAACTTAAAATTTTATTATCAAAACTAAAGATTACATACTCTGATTGGTTGATACTGCGACTAACATCACCAGTGACAGAACTGGTCCGAGAGATGTGACTCCCAGAACCAACCTTGCCAGCAGGAAGTGACTCAGCAGAGACAACATGATCAAAAATCAAGGCAACAGCTTGCCTGAAGGTAGCTGCAGCAGTGCTGGATGAAAGATTCAAAATAATCAAGAGAAGTTTGATTTATTTTTCTGGGGAAAAAAAGTAAAAGAGAAAAGCAACCTTACAATTATTGTTTTGAATAAGTTAATACTGGAGAAAAGAATTGCGAAAATTACACCAAAATTAATAAGTCTTGACATCTAAGATGTTAGACATTTTAAAAACTCACTTGCGCACACTGTCAGAAGATCTGTTGTTCTCAAGAAGCCTGAGACAGATATCAAGAGCCTGAGCCATATTTTCCTGACATTGAAGCAGGTTGTGGCATTGTTTTATGTTAGTTTCCGTAATACAAGCAGAACAATAGAATATGATTCCTCCCTTTTTACATTTTTCTAATTAAAGCAGTATATATTACACCCACACACACACATCTATAATTTGGGCTGTTAGATATCTACTTTCCTTATATTTATCTGCTACTGACCATACTTAAATGGGAAGGCAGATGATGAAAATGATCCCAATATGTAATTGCACTACTAAAGAACAGTGGAAATCATAAAGAAAAATCACAAGAAAAGTTATATATGGAAACTGCATAAAGGAGTTCCAAAGATGAGAACTTATTTTTTTGATAGGCCACAGAAAAAGTATGTTCTTTGATTGAAAATTAATATGTACAGAGTAATTACAAGATTTAAGCTAGCCACAACCACATAACCCAAAACCATATATACAAAAACAAGATTAACATTGTAGAAGGAGATTCAAAGGTAGCAGTGGTTTGACCAAGGGATAAAGCTCAAGCAACTTGGAAGTATGGATATACATTAAGGATAATCATTCCTTAGTGGAAGAATTGGATTTCAGATTTCAGTGGGTTCCTACAAGTGCCAATAGTATGGTTGGATAGATATACACCCTTTCTCTTGTATATCTTTTTTTATAGGAAATGGTAACTTTTCATCAAGGAAGATTTGGAAAGTATGCAGGTCCTGTCCCTAAAAATGAGGAAGCGGACCCCCAAAGGATCTCAGATTAACAATTCAGCCCAAAAATGTTCACCCCTTGTTATCCATTGTTTGTCTTTCTCTTGTAAATCTGTATATTATGTATCTTTATTAATAAAATTTCTTATTGTTACCAACCAAAACAAGTTTATCATAAAATTACTCCCCAATACTGTTATGGTTGTGCCTTGAATTCTTTGTTGCGACCCACTCATGAACCCGCTTCAAATTAGGTTGAGAAAAACCCGTAGGCAAAATTTCATAGTGGTTTGTGATGGAAGCGTAGAGTTATGTGTTTCGGGGGTTTTCTCTCTTGTATACTTAGACTTTGTCTTGTGAGAAAAGTTGAGAGACTTTAGGTGTATTTGGGGTTTAGGGTTTTCTGTGAGTGAGGTTGTGAGTGCACATCTCTGTATTGCTCTCCATTACAGATTACATAGTGGATTTCTGCTCCTCCTTCACCCATGGACATAGCTATAAGCCAAACCACATAAATCTGTGTATCCTCTTTGCTTGCTTCTCTTTATCTCTGTTTTCCTTTCACTTTTTGGGTGCCATTTGAATCAGTATTTTTGGGTTTTGCGCAACAAACTAGTATCAAAGCCCTATTTTTCATTTGGCACTTGCAATGTCATCAATGAAGTTCGATATTGAGAAGTTCGATGGTAGCATCAGTTTTAGTATTTGGCAAGTCAAGATGTGTGCCATTTTGGGACAAGACGGACTACACGAAGCTCTATACAGAAAGTAGAAGAAACCTGCAACTATAAGGGCTCAAATAGTAAACAGAACTCTTAATCAAAATCCAGACATAAAAACTTGGCCTGCAACTATTGTCACAAGAAAGGGCACATTAAGTCAGAATGCTATAAGCTGAAAAACAAAAACTAGAATGAATAGAAGAAAGATTAAAAGAAAATGAATAACTCTGTAGAGGCCAGTGTGGCAGAGGATGAGAATGTTGATGTTCTCTTAGTAACAGATGACAAAACCAGATCCAAGGATGAATGGATTCTAGATTCGGATTGTTCCTACCATATGTGTCCCAACAGGAACTGGTTCTCCACCTATGAATCTATTGATGGTGGAGTTGTATTGATGGGTAATAATGCCTCTTGCAAAACTGCGGAAAAATGAATAGTTTGAATCAGAATACATGATGATGTTGTGAGAACATTGATAAATGTACGACATGTAGTGGACTTAAAGAAAAATCTCATCTCTCTTGGCACTCTAGATGCAAATGGGTGTAAGTATTCAGCTGAAGGAGGAGTTCTGAAAGTCAATAAGGGTGCTCTTGTCATGATGAAAGGCACAAGGACAAGAAGTCTATATGTGCTACAAGGTATAACTATCACAGGTTCAGTTGCAATTTCAACATCATCACTATTTAAGTCTAACACCACCAAGTTATGGCACACGAGGCAAGGACATATAAGTGAAAGGGGACTATGGGAACAAAAAAAGGGGGCATATAAGTGAAAGGCTAGGACATATTAAGCAGGAGAGGTCTTCTTTGTGGCCAAAGTACAGGAAAGCCTAATTTCTGTGAACATTGTGTTTTCGGGAAACAAAAAAAGAACTAGTTTCAGTACAGCCATTCACAGAACAAAAAAAAACATTGTGTTTTCGGGATTATGTTCACTCAGACCTATGGGAACCTTCACAAGTTCCATCAAAGGGCGGTGCTCAATATCTCCTTACCATCATTGATGACTACTTCAGGAAGGTATGGGTTTATTTTCTGAACCATAAGAATGTTGTATTGGTGACTTTTAAACAATGAAAAACCTTGCTTGAGAAGCAAACAGGAAAGCAGGTCAAGCGGCTAAGGACAGATAATGGTTTAGAGTTTTGTGAAAATGAATTTAATGAGCTCTGCAAAAAATGAAAGCATTGTAAGGCATCATATTGTTGTAAAACACCATAGTAGAATAGAGTTGCAGAACATATGAACAGAACTCTACTAGAGAAAGCAAGTTGTCAAATGCTAGTCTTTCCAAGGATTTTTGGGAAAAAGTAGTTAATATGGCCTGTCACTTGATAAATCGATCTCCATCTACTGCCATTGAGTGTAAGACTCCAAAAGAGGTATGGTTTGGTAACCCTCCTGATTATTCAAATTTGAAAATATTTAGTTGTCCAACTTATGCACATGTTAATGAAGGCAAGCTTGAGCCTACAACAAAGAAGTGTATATTTCTTAGTTATGTTTTAAGTGTGAAGGGATACAGGTTGTGGTGTCCTGATCCTAAATCATCGAAATTCATAGTTAGCAAAGAAGTGTATATTTCTTAGTTATGCTTTACTCGAGGAAGGAGTCTTCTATTGCCTGTGATGCAGATAAAACACAAAGTTCAATAAAGAATGTGGGGTTAGAAGTTAGAAGTTCTTCCTCACCTCAGTTTACATTAGTCCAGGTGTCCATTTCTATTGAGATAAAAGAACCTGTACAAGAGGAAGAAGAGGAGCAATGTTCTATTGCTAGAGAGATTAGACCACCTCAAAGATATGGCTATGTTGATCTGGTTACCTATGCATTGTTAGCTGCAGAAAATGTTGATATTACTGAACCTAATACTTATGCAGAAGCTATCTCACCAATTGATTCCGCTAAGTGATTGACAGTTGTGCATGAAGAAATCGAATCCTTGCAAATAACAACCAAACTTGGGAGTTGGTGAGACCACCTAAAGGAAAGAAGATTGTTGGATGCAAATGGGTTTTCGCTTTTCAAAAGGAAAAAATGTACTCCAAGTATAGAGGATGCTAGATATAAGGCACGATTGGTTGTTAAAGGCTACAACCATGTACAATGTGTTGATTTTAATGATGTCAATTAGATGTTATTTCTTGCATGGAAAACTTGATGAACAGATTTATATGCATCAACTTGAGGGTTTTGTAAGAAATCTTTGTATAGCTTAAAACAGTCTCCTAGACAATGGTAGAGACTAGGAGATTTGACTCTTTTATGGTGGCTCTTAGGTATTCTAAATGCAAGTACAACAGTTGTGTTTATTTCAGGAAACTTGCAGATGATTCTTTCGTATACTTGCTGCTTTATGTTGATGATATACTTATTGCAACAAGAGAAATATCTGAGATTAACAGGTTGAAAACACAGTTGAGTGGTGAGTTTGAAATGAAAGATTTGGGTGTAGTAAAGAAAATTCTAGGTATGGAGATTCAGATGAACCAAAAAGCAGGGAAGTCGTATTTGACACAACAAAAGTATGTTGAGAAGGTCCTAGAGAATTTTGGCATGAAAGATGCTAAACCAGTAAGTACTCCTCTTGTAGCCCACTTCAGACTTTCAGCTAATTGATCATCACAGATAGATGAAGAAGAAAGATATATGTCTCATGTCCCTTATTCCAGTGCAATTGGGAGTATTATGTATGCTATGGTTTGCATACTGTGAAGATATATGTTGATGTACATTATTAGTATAGCCCTTATTGTACAGTATTCTTATTATTTTATTTGTTCTTTTTATCTTTCAGCCCTATAAGGGCATTCTTGTAACTGTACATATCTTTTAATATAAAAGGGGCTCTTTTGGGTGGGGGTCGACTATTCTTGACACCCCTGAATATACTTTCTCTCTCTTGTTCTCAGTTCGGTTCACATGGTATCACAGCAAGCTGCTCTCTAATCCATTTCTCTTCTTTCTTGATCAGTTTGAGAACTATCATCATTGCCAATTGGTTCTAGACTGTTTTGATCTTTCCAAGAACCATTTCTCTGAATTCTATGCATCTAGTAAGAGAGATTTCATTAGATCTCTCTTGTTTGACATCAGTTTGCAATAAGATTTGAAATGAAGTGCCGCCTAGCCCTCCTCATCATATTCTGAATTTTTCATTGAGATCCATGAAGTTTTGAGAGAGATCTATACATCTCTTCTGGATGGCTCCACCAAGACTTTCCTTTTCTGGACTGTGTATCAAATTTTCTCCTATTGCTGGATCCTGGACAATCTCTTGTGACAGTAAGAGGTTTCTTTTCTCAATTTTTGACTCTCTTGGATTTGATTACTATTCATCTTGCTTGCTTCGATCAGTTTTTACTTTGTATTCTTGGGCAAAGTAGATTGTTGTTCAAACTAGTTTTTTGGACTATTGCCGAACCCTCTTTTTGTTGTTTTATGTTGTAATGGCTTCAGACAGAGGGGATATTATACCTGTGAAGATGAATGGACAAAATTATGGGATGTGGAAATTCCACTGATTTTTATATTGAAGGAAAAGGTTTGGAAGGACACTTGAATGGGACTGTCACTAAACC